TTTGTAGTATACTTTGAAATCATTTATGCCATTTCGAATAAAGTTGTGGCTCATGACAAACGCTATAGGTGACCTATGGAAGGCGGAATCATTGTACGTCTCCAAAGCTTGTGAAAACAAAAATATATAGGTTATGTTATTGGTTTTAATTTATAGTAGCCTATGCTATTTATTATATATATATATATATATATATATATATATATATATTTATTTATAAATGTATAGGTAGTGTATTGGTACATATACATTTCTTAATAAATAACTTGTGGCTGAACGAAGCATCTTCAGCCATTAGTTATGTCATTGTTTGGGAAACGCACCCTAGGTTACAAAAAAGTACAATTTCAATGCACAGTTATTTTGATTTTGAATATATTTGACGCAGTTTTGAGGGGTTTTGCTAATATTTTGCATAAATGATCAAAGTACTGACCAATATAAATTTTTACCAGGGCCTGAGACAATTGTTGTCCCAGAAACACCATAATTATATATAAACACTAAAAATTATGTTTATTGACAGTATTTTAATATATATATTGAAAAGAAAAAAAGAAAAAAGAAAAAAATCTGCATTTTATGAACGTTGAGATCAAGGTTGCAAAAGTAGGAATCACTGGTCCCTTTAACAAAGATTGTTTAATTCTTCATTTTTTAAGCAACTAGTTGACAAAAACAGTAGTGTTTTAAAATGTACAAATCTTTTAGACAGTTATTAGGCAGAAGAAATGTAGCAAATCTTTAGGCTTTACTTTTTTAGTTTTATTGATTGTATTTAATAAGCAATAAAATCATTGTGGGTCGGTTTGCAATAGCTATACTCTACTATTAGAGAATAGTAGGGCCCCAAAATGTTTCTGCTTAGCGCCCCTGAATGTAAAGGGCCGGCCCTGGGTCTCAGAACAACATCCACTAGGTAAAATTAGGATGTCATGTAAGGAAACATTATAACAGAGACAAACATATTTTTGGAGACACTGTGATGTCTGGGTTTCAAGGATTGTGGTATTGTTGTATACTTAGGACAGTCCCAGGGTCAGGTCATCTGACCTCTAGTCCCAACCAGCCACTGGGGGAACATCTATTCCCCCAGCTGAAGTACAGTGCAGTGTGGGGTCACCGACCTCTGTGAATACTGCTGAAATACAACACCCATTTATCAAGGGGTCTGGAATGCAGCGGCTGCGAAATTAGAGGGGGACAGTGTGTGATGGGGTAGAGCCAAATATTCCCCAAATACCAGGCATTTAACAGCCGAGTAAATAATTTTGCGTGAGAGAAAGAGAAGTGCTGGATGACAGGGTGACTCTTGTTCTCAGATGATGACATCGTCGAGCATTGGGTCAGAGGTCATCAAGTGCCCTGTGGTGTGTCTGTTGTCGACTTGGTGACAGCATATTAGACACTTATAGATATATTCTAAATGAGTGTTTCTGTCTGTTCCATCAGTAAGATCAGTCACTCCTTTGTCACATTTTTAGATGCATTACAAAATAAAATGTATTGTGACTTTTTTAACAATTAGAAATTATAATGTTAATGTTCAATGTTAACAATGTTTTTTGTAAACTTTACAAAAACATGCTATTGATATGTATTTTTTGTCCCTGACACAAAAATAAACATATATTTTTAATTAATGGTTGTAAATATATTTCAAATATGTATTTTAGGGCTGTACAATACAAAAAAAATTACATATTGCAATATTTTTTATTTTGCAACATATTTTACGAAATGACCACAATTTTTCTAGATGAGTTGAATAAATGTTTCTAAAAAATCTTTGATTTTAGATTGATTGAGAAGATTCTGTAGGGGAGTGCATACATTATAACTCAAGTTTATTTGTATACCACTTGAGCAAAATAAGTCTTGTGTAATAAGCGTACTATTTATATTATTGATAGTTGTATAATAAACATTATATAGATAGTGCCTTTTTTAAAAATATTTATCAATTCTGAGAGACAACGCTTTGGCAGGCGTTAGCCTGTCACTGAACAGAGCAAAGACGGTTGACACTTCGCCACATTTTGGCGAAAGAGACTACATAATAAGCCCTTAGAAGAGAAAAACAGCTTAATTTCTAAGTACAGCTGATCAAATCATCATTAAACTGTGTACTTTGTGTTGGTCACTCTTTGTATAATCCTGAGTTACTTTTTTGTTTATTCATCTGTTTGTTTCTAATGAGTCACATGTTTTCGTTACTGCAGACTAGTTCGGAAAAAAACAGGGAAAGAAGAAATGCCCTCATGTGTTAGGTTTTTTTTTTATGGCAAACACAACAGTAATCTTTGGCTTATTTGGGGTTACTTCTTGTGATCTCCCAATTGCAACAGAGAAATACTGGGAAATTTCTATAGACTGATATCATTTTATGCCAGCTCTAAAGCTCTAAAGTGTCGTTGGTAAAGTAGCAATGGTTTCTGCTGTTCTAACGTCAGCTGCAGATGTGAAGGAATGGCCGAAAAAAGTAGTTCCTCTTACAAAAGGGATTTTAGACTCTCTGGGCTCTATTTTGACGGTCCATGCGCAAGGCACAAAATGCAGTGCGCAAACGCTTTCAGGGCGTGTCAGAATCCACTTTTCCTAATTTAAGGACGGAAAAATCCGCTTTGCGTCGTTGCACATGGTCTAAAAGGGTTGAGTTTATTTTCTTAATGAATTATAGGTGTGTTTTGAGAATAAACCAATCAGAGTCTCATCTCCCATTACCTTTTAGAGTCAGTTGCGTCACGCCATAAGCACGTTTGCTATTTACATGACATTAAGTAAGTGTAAATGGAAAAACTGAGCATTTCACTAGCAAGAAAACAGTTAAACAGAGCATCTGCAGCGCGAGAATGAGAGAAAAATTATCTACTTTCACTTTCGCTCTCATGGATAGGGAAACCTTGTATGCAAAGGCATCAATTAGCCTATAAATAATTAATTTAGTTTGTTAAGCGCAAAGATTTGTTTCAAAACTATTTCTAAATTCAGTTCTAATTTCGAGCAAACGAATAAATGAACAATAATAACGAAGTGTGCTAAAAAACCTGAGTTATATCCTAATACACATGCTGTGCCCAATATGGTCTAAAACCTGACAGATGGACAAATCTAAGCTTGTTTTTAATAAAACAAATATAAATATGCATATAATAAATAATACTGCTAATAATAATAACATTATACAAAAGTAAATTAAATGAACTGAAAAAGCCTCCAGAGATGAAAAAAGTATGAAGGCAGTGTTTTTTAAATTCATGTAGGCTAGAAAATAATATGCTTTGTCATATTTTAATCCTTTATGTTTATATCCTATTTTTATCCTTAATATTGCCATCTTTTTCATATGTGAAGATATTTGTGTATTGCTCTACATCTTGTGTGTATTAAATAGTGTGTAAGCCAGGCGCACTCTGTGCCAGACTAAAGGACTAAAGAACAGACTATTATAGTTTCTCAAAATAGCAACGCGCCAAAACACGCCTGCTATTTTAGACCAGAACGCCTACATGAGTGCAAATGCATTTGCGATTTAAACAGCATGGCGCAACACCTCAAAACGACTCTTGCGCCGAGCTAGTAGCAAGTAGCAAATAGCAATTGCGTTGTGCCTTGCGCCACATTGCGTCCTCTGTGTTTGATTTTCTTACACATGATTATCTCGTCGAACTGTTGTATAAATGCAATATCACACTTAGCAGTGCAATATGGCTATATATCATCACTGGTGGGACACTAAGGCACAACACAATCCTCCCACCAGTGCTGATATACAGCCATAATGCACTGCCAGTTGTGTGATATTGCTTATATATAGAAGGTACATAAAGTATTCAGACCCCCTTTATTGTTCCACGATTTTTATATTGCAGCCGTCTTCTAAAATTATTATTATTTTTTTTTTCTTCATTAATGTACACACCACCCCATATTGACAAAAAAGCACAGATTTGTTGGCGTTTTTGAAGATTTAATAAAAAAGAAAAACTAAAATATGACATGGTCTTATAGTCGTATATATACAGGTGTGTGGCTTTCCCAATCAAGTCCAATCAGTATAATCATATAATCACACCACTTCAAAGATGATGAGAAGAAATGGACAGCACCTTAAATACATGAGTGTCACAGAAAAGGGTCTGAATACTTAGGACCATGTGATATTTCAGTTTAACTTTTTTAATAAATCTGTGGAAATGTCAACGATTCTATGTTTTTCTGTTAACATGGGGTGCTGTGTGTACATTCATGAGGAAAGAAATGAACGTAACATTTTTAGCAGATGGCTGCAATATAACATATAGTGAAACATTTAAGGGGGTCTAAATACTTTCTATATACACCTGTTTTACATATATTTAAAGGCATTTGATAAAAGTTATGTATTTATTTAAGCATATATTTATTTCAATAGTGCCCCCAGGGTGCACATATCTACTGTTGTAAATTACTCTAAATTGTGTATTGGTATGTTCGAGTATACTGTAGATATAATGGCCTTTAATGAGCAGATGAATATCTGTGCTGCACTGTGTGCCATTAACGCCTCTTAGAGATCATCTCAGAGCCGCATCACTTCCTGACCGGCTCCTGCTCTAATGCTAGAAATGAAGACCTGACCAGCAGCTAATAACTCATTAGAGACCCACTGAGCTGCTGCAAGACAAACGCAGAGAGGAAAACAAACATGCCATTCAGCTTGGTGCCAAACGCATGCATGCACACATAAACACACACTCTGCAGTCCAATTTAGCACAGTTATGCCTCCATTTGACCTTGAGAGGCATCTGTGCTTCATTCTAAAAATACAGAGCCAAATAAATATATTTCATACTGCTTTCGTGCCGTGTTTAGACATGAGATCAGACTGTGATGAGCAGAGATCATGCAGACACGATAGCTGGGTGGGTTGTTAATGAAAGTTATGGGTGAGGTGCCAATATTTTGCAATAACCATCCAACAGGAGGCGCCACTTCAGACTTCATGATCACTCCTTACCAGTGGGTCTGAATGAAGGAGGTGATGATCTAGAAGAGCTGCAGATCCTGCAGACGAGGGATTCAGAGGTCTAGATCCTATCTATTAAAGAGCAGCGAGAGAGAGAGAGAGAGAGAGCAGTTACTGAACTCATCTGGAGAGCAAGAATACTGGGTTGGGGAAGTGTGAAGGGTGAAATGGTGATCTGTTCTTTTTTGGTACATACATATAAAGACACACAAATAACTCAAAACCCTGTTTAATCTCATTACAGATAGTGTTTTATAAATTAATAATATAATATAATATAATATAATATAATATAATATAATATAATATAATATAATATAATATAATATAATATAATATAATCATTCATTCATTTTCTTTTCGACTTAGTCCCTTTATTAATCTGGGGTTGCCACAGCGGAATGAACCGCCAACTTATCTAGCATATGTTTTACGCAGCTAATGCCCTTCCAGCCACAACCCATATCTGAGAAATATCCATACACACTCAGTTACACTCGTACACTATGGACAGCTTAGCCTACCCAATTCACCTGTACCGCGTGTCTTTGGACTGTGAGGGAAACCGGAGCACCTGGAGGAAACCCACATGAACGCAGGGAGAACATGCAAACTCCACACAGAAATGCCAACTGGCTCATTCGGGACTCTAAACAGCAACTTCCTTGCTGTAGTAATATAATATAATGGGCAACACAGTGGCTCAGTGGTTAGCACTGTCGCTTCACAGCAAGAAGGTCTATGGTTCGAATCCCGGCTGAGCCCGTTGCCATTTCTGTGTGGAGTTTGCATGTTCTCCCCATGTTTGCCTGGGTGCTCAGGTCTACCCCACAGTGCAAAGACATGCGGTACAGGTGAATTGGATGATCTAAATTGGCCATAGTCTATGAGTGTGTGTAAATGTGAAAGTGTATGGGTGTTTCCTTTTATTGGGTTGTGGGTGGAAAAGCATCCACTGCAAACATATGCTGGAATAGTTTGCGGTTCATTTCGCTGTGGTGACCCCTGATAAATAAGGGACTAAGCAGCATAATAAAATAAAATATTATAATTAACATGGCGACGCAGTGGCGCAGTAGGTAGTGCTGTCGCCTCACACCAAGAAGGTTGCTGGTTCGATCCTCGGCTCAGTAGGCATTTCTCTGTGGAGTTTGCATGTTCTCCCTGCGTTCGCGTGGGTTTCCTCCGGGTGCTCCGGTTTCCCCCACAGTCCAAAGACATTCAGTTCAGGTGAATTGGGTAGGCTAAATTGTCCTTAGTGTGGGAATGTGTGTGTGGATGTTTCCCAGAGATGGGTTGCGGCTGAAAGGGCATCCGCTGCATAAAAATGTGCTGGATAAGTTGGCGGTTCATTCCGCTGTGGCGACCCCGGATTAATAAAGGGACTAAACCGACAAGAAAATGAATGAATGAATTATAATTAACACAGTTCACCCAAATTAATTTGTTATCATTTGTTAAACACAAAGAAATATATTTTGAAGAATGCTGGAAATGCTTTTTTTTTTTAATAAATGCCAATAGCTACCTGTTTCTGGTAGCATATCGCGAAAACATAGGAAACAAATCTATCAGACTTTCTTGGAATAGTGTTAGTCCTGTTGGCATCTGATGCCATTGATCAAAGTTTGTTTTCACCCAATCGTATATGTCCAGTCTTGCATTTGTTGACTTGTGGAACGTCTGAGCGGTGTGATATGATTTTAAAACAAACTGCAAGAAACTCTGACGTAATCTGACCAGAGAATTTATTTTTAACCCTGGGAAGATTAAATAAATGAAGTTACAGTCATTTTTTACAACATTTTAAATCCAAAAGCCAACTTGTGTGTGTGGTGTGAATTGGCCTTTATGAATAAATTCACTGCAATCATATGGCACAATTTGAATCAAACAGAAAAAAAATTGATAGCTCAAAATACTTTAATAACAATTAATACTCAAGTAAAAAGCCACATAAGTTAATTTTAACAAAAAAATCTAAGAAATTGAAAAATATAATTAATTACATTTTGGAAAGTTTTCTCTAAAGTTAATATAATTTTATAATTTTAATATATTTCAAAATGTTTATTCCTGTGATGTAATACTGAATTTCCAGCAGCCACTACTCAATTCTTCAATTTATTCAGTCATTCATTTTCTTTTCACATTGCCACTCATTTCATTGCCACAGTGGAATGAACCGTCAACTATTCCAGCATATGTTTTACCCTTCCAGCTGCAAACAAGTACTGGGAAACAATTATTCACTCTCACATTCACACACACACACTCATACACTACAACAAATTTAGTTTATCCAATGCATGTCTTTGGATTGCCATGCCAGAGGAAAGCCATGGGAACACAGGGAGAATATGTAAACTCCACAAAGAAATGGCAAATGACACAGCCGGGACTCGAACCAGCGACCTTATTGCTGTGAGGTGTCATTCTGACAAGAGTCAATGTGCCCTCCTGATTTAATAATTGTATGTGTTAATTGAAAGTGCTGATTGAACTAATATATTTTAGGGTTTTTTGATAAATAAAAAAAATGAAACAAAATTGCAATACTGATTATACCTATAGATTATACCTTGTACATTTCATCAATTTAAAGCATTTTCACTAATTAATATTTATATTCAATTCAATTATATAAATCACGTAATTTTCTATTGTCTTGAATGGATGGGTTGAGATCAACGACAAATACATTTTTAGATCTGTGTGTGTGTGTGTGTGTGTGTTTGTGTGTGTATTCTAGCAGCTGCAAGACCCCTAAAGCTTTATGGAGAATGAAGATCTGTTTAAGCAGTGAAGAATGCTCCACTGATGGGCTTCTAATTCTAGTTTCATTTAAAGAAGGAGTTTCCTCACAGCCGGAGCCTCGATTAGAAGGGTAACGGGCCGTAAACAGGGAAGCGAATGAAAACCGGAGCGCGAAAGTGATAGGAAATTAAGAGAAATCAGCTGGAAAGAAGAGCGCTACGGAGGGAGAAAAAGGATTAGAGGATGTCTATGCTAGTTAAATGTTAAATATCTACACACATTAATATAAAACCATCATCAACGTCATGCACCACTCTCAGAGAGACTTCACAGCAAACACAAGCAAACAGATCCAAGGCAGCCATGTGTAACTGGCAGATGTTGGATCAATTGTGCAGTCAGTAGTCAGTTCTCTATCTGTGTCTCTATCCTGCACTCCATGCTGAACGTACCTCAGCTGAAGTCCCCTGAAGACAGTCAAACATTTTACAGAACACCTGGGAAGAGGAGGCGGAGATGAGATATCCATTCAGGTAACAGCCTTAAAGGGATAGTTCACCCAAAAATTTAAATTCTGCCATCCTTTACTTGTTACAAACCATTTTCTTTTGAACACAAAGAGTGATATATAAAAGAATGTTTGGGGAAAAACAGCCATTGACTTGCATATTATGTTTTGTTACCACTGTACAATGGATATCAATGGCTGCTTTTACCATGGTGAGGAAATGTTCCACTATCCTTTTAATGTGACAGCACTCGGCAGCACTAGACAACAGACTTCATCACAGGCTCAGAGTAATCATGTTGTGTGGATAGTAAGAGAGGTTAAAGGTGCAGTAGGTGATCTGCAAAAATGCTAACCGCTTAGCATATTATCTTTGGACGGCGGGGAGGGACTATGATTCAAAGCCACACTTACTGAAATCGTGAGCACACGCATTGCGGCACAACAGCAGACAACCCACTAGTTAATGTCATTCGCCAGTCAGTTAGTGTTTGGCCGGCAGTGTGCAAGAAGTGCCTGTATTACTAAGCCATACCTACATGCTAATTCAGAGCGAATATTCAGAGTAGCATGGTAAACAGTATAGGAAGGCTGTCATTGTTTAAAATTGAACCAATGTGAATATAAAAGCAACTTCAGCTCAATAAAGCAGGTTAGGCGGAATAGCGCTATTTACTGGTGTTTTGTGGTTTTAAAACAAGAATATTTCCTGTCTAACAGTAATACTTAAGCCATGGTGTCGTCCTTCCTCCAGCGTGCAAAAGTTACTCCAATATTTATTCAGGATTTTCAAAAGTTTCAATTCAGCATTTGATTTCTCCCGTGGACGCGTGGCGCTTGGCGGATCTGCGTGAACAGATGCGCGGAAGTCTAAATCTACATTTGCTGACAGACAGTTTGAGCTGCTTATCGGAATTATGGGAGATATCAGCCCGACAATATTTAATTGGATGAACATTTTTTAGTTTTATGCCTTATCCTGAATATAAAAATACATATAAACACATTTAGATCATTTACTTTAATCAATACTATTGGACTGTGAAAAGACTTTCAAGAAACACAACAAAAAATGTTTCTGAAGACAATCACCTACTGCACCTTTAAGGTAGAGTATGATCTTGGTTTATGTACTAGTAGTAGAGTAGGGGATGTGATATTTGTCATGTAAGATAATAATGTAATTGTTTAAAGATGTGTGAGCTGATATTTAGTACGCTAACTTACAATTTATACAGTATAAAATGCTTCACAGCTCTTATCAGGGCAGAAATAATTAAAAAAGAGTTTCACCTCAGAAACATTGCACACAAAACACCCCAGACACTTATCTTTACACCTTATGGCATTGTACTTCAATTAAAACATTTCGGGGAAAACTCACTCTCCAACTTTACTTTTATGTCACATCCCACTGTCTCTATCAGTCTGCATACTACGTGACACATCCACTATAGATATTAATAATTCAAATTACTACTAAAGGTCAATTACTACTGGTGGCTCTAACTATCCTCATGAACTGGAAATCAAGAAAGACCATTTACATTTCATCTTGGAAAAATGTATTAACAGAATACATCTCCATTGAAGATCCTCTTTGTCTGAAGCCATTCCCCAACAACACCTTCATCAGTACATAAATCTAATTAAATATCCTAAAAGAAAGAAAGAAATAAAAACAAAAATTTCTTAATTTTATTAGCATTTTCCACATCATAATTCGGTTTTTACATACTTCTTTATGTATACTTCATCTATACAGTATAGAGTATATTATAGTTATCACACTTACCTGCCCACCACTTGATCTTTCAATCTTATTATTATTATTATTATTAGTAGTAGTAGTAGTGGTAACTTTTACATGTTTAACAAACATCACATTCAGATGAGCCAGCTTGGTTCTATTGGTAATAATAATACATTTAGTCTTGTTTACTTAGTGTTTACATTGTCATTCTTAAAATAGAAACCAAATATTCTAAAAAGCAAAACTGTATATTTTGTTATGGAACTTAAAGAACATCCAAAACAATTCTGTGTGCTGTGCTAAATGAGCTTGTGCATATACATGTAATGGTATATGTATCACCTTGCAACTTGTAAAGTGCTTATACCCTTGATTCTTGTTCCTGTAGATCTACCTTACTGCAGAGTTCAGCTGCAACCTTCATCAAACACACCTCTCTTTAATTACCAAGTGCTTCTTCAGACCTATTTAGGGTGCACTCATGCTATGCTATCCTAAACGTGCCTGGGCACATTTCCCGGTTCGTTTGACACATGTGAGTGCTCCGAATCGTGCCCAGACTGGCCCGGTTGAAAGAGGTGCGCCAGAGAGCGGTTTGGTTGGGTTTTGCCATGGTACTCTTGTAGTGTAAGTGCAGGTGCCCCTGAGCATGAAACTGAAGATGCAATATCACTTTTAAGGGGTGTCAACTTTTCAATGAACATCATAGTTTATTAAAGATGCAAACTTCCCGCTGCAGGTCATCTGCACCCTCAGTAAACCTCAGAATCAGTGCCTGGGGTCTGGGGTCGCCACAGCGGAATGAACTGCCAACTTATCCAGCATATGTTTTATGCAGCGGATGTCCTTCCTGCTGCAACCCTTCACTGGGAAACACCCATACACTACAGCCAATTTAGCTTACCCAATTCACCTATACCACATGTCTTTGGACTTGTGGGGAAAACCGGAGCACCCGGAGGAAACTCACACAAACACGGGGAGAACATGCAAACTCCACACAGAAATGTCAGCTGACCCAGCCGAGGCTCAAACAAGCCGTTTATTTTCATTAACAGCACAGATATGAATTCATCTGGTTGGTCAGACTACACACCCTAGTCAGCGCATTTTAGACATGAACACACTCTTTCTGGCAATGTTTCTTCTGCGTTCAGACAGAGCAGTAATGTTACAACTTCTCTTTTCCAGAAAATTGTCGGAACAAATTTACCAGAATTTTTTAAAATGGCCTGTTTAGTCATGATCCCTTTCCGTAAATAATTGCAGGTAATTTTCCAGAGAAGTCTGTATGTGTGAAACAAGCTATAGTTGAGCTGTAATGTAGGGTTTGTTTGGTGTTGTACAAAGAACTGACAACAATCCTTTATTCATCGACACTATGTCCTCAAAAATATTATAAGTGTAAAGTTTTTTTTTTTTAATTTGTGTCATGCTACCCTGTAGCATTAACTTTACCTAGAAACTTTGTCACACATACAGTTGAAGTCAGAATTATTAGCCCCCCTTTGAGTTTTTATTTTTAATATTTCCCAAATTATGTTTAACAGAGCAAAAATATTTTCATAGTATGTCTGATAATATTTTTTTAATTCTGAAGAAATAATTTATTTTGGCTAGAATAAAAGCAGTTTTTAATAAAAAAAAAAAAAAAACATTTTAAGGACAAAATTATTAGTCCCTTTAAGCTATATTTTTTTCAATAGTCTACAGAACAAACCATCATTATACAATAACTTGCCTAATTACTCCAACCTGTCTAGTTAACCTAATTAACCTAGTTAAGCCTTTAAATGTCACTTTAAGCTGTATAGATGTCTTGAAAAATATCTGGTCAAATATTATTTACTGTCATCATGGCAAAGATCAAATAAATCAGCTGTTAGAAATGAGTTATTAAAACTATTATGTTTAGAAATGTGCTGAAAAACTATGTTAAACAAAAATTAAGGAAAAAATAGAAAGGGGGGCTAATAATTCAGGGGCGCTAATTATTCTGACTTCAATTGTATGTTTATTTTTTGTGGTTTCACAAAAAATGACGACTCAAGCACGTATTTCCAAAGAGCCTGTGTTGGAAAATCTAGGCTATTTAAGGAGACAGCATGAATTGAACTATACTAAGCAAATGCAGCAGAGTTTGTTTAAACTCTACTAAACCTGCCAAGTGTGAACGCACCCTATATTGTGCACTTAAGCACAACTGAAATCCTGCATCCGTTTTTTTTATTATAATAAACTACTAGTTTAAAACACACTATGCAGAATGAAATTATGGTTATACAAGGCTAGCAATGCTAAACCTGGTACATTATGCTGATTTTACAAAACACATGTGATGTGACACAATAAATCTGTGCTTTTTGACTGAAATCAAGTGTTGTAGAGTAATAATGAGGATGCTCTAGAGAGAATGCATTCATATGCAAATCTATTCATTGTGCGATCGTGTGCTATAAGGCTTCCCTGCTGCCGTGGCTCATTCCTGACCTGTTGGATCCTGTTCTCACTCACTAGAGACACGCTTGGTTCAATCCAGTAATTACTATGTGTTCCTACGACTAAACACTCCACATTCCACACTGTTTTTTCCTCTCAGTTCTGGCTTATCTTATCAGTCTTGGAAGATACAGGTCCATATGAAACATATACCCTATGGCGATATGCAGTCATAGTGTTTCCTGTACTGAATGTGTTATTTTTTTGTTTTCATGCTTGCACTGAGTTGCTCGTATCTGATTGGGGTCGCCGTGGAAACAGGGCGATGGTCCTGTCCGCACAGGTAAAACACGCGATGAGGCTTTGATGAATCAACCTGTTGTTGACACAGCTGTACATTCTTTCTCTTGCATACACTTTCACATGAAACAATGTAATCGCACAAATGACACAGTTTGTGTTCATTTTAAAAGATTACAAATGTAGTAGACTTGGCTTGACTTATGTGAACAGGTCGCCACAGCGGAATGAACCGCCAACTATTCCAGGATATGTTTTACGCAGAGATTGCCCTTCCAGCTGCAACCGAGTACTGGGAAATACCATACACTCACACATACACACACACACACACACACACTCATACACTATGGCCAATTTTGTTTATTTAATTCAGTTATTGTGCATGTCTTTGGACCAACGTAAGTTAATTATGAAAACGTAGCCCCATATGCATTTCTTAAGATTGTGAATTATGAAGCCAAAGCTATGTATGGCTGCATTTCATCTTTAAAAAT